ACAAACAAAATCAAATCCATTGGAAAGCAACCTGCCTCTACAGTATCCTTCGCTTTTCACACTGCATACCAGAACTATTAGTATTACTGATGTCTGCAGCTCAACAGCATGTCTGCATTCAGAAAAGGGTACTATTGGTGCCAAATTGGTATGATTTTTTACTACTTATGAATCGCTTTTGACTGTGTGGATCATAACAAATTAAAGATAATACCGCGAAGAATGGGAATTCCAGAACACTTAATTGTGCTCATGTGGAACCTGCATGTAGATCAAGAGGCAGTCTTCAAACAGAACAAGGGGATACTGCATGGTTTAAGTAAGGAAATGTGTGTGTCAAGGTTGTATCCTTTCACCGTACTTATTCAATCTGTATGCTGAACAAATAATCCGAGAAGCTGAACTATATGAAGAAGAATGTGGCATCAGGATTGGAGGAAGACTCATTAGCAACCTTTGATGTGCAGATGACACAACCTCGCTTGCTGAAAGTGAAGAGGACTTGAAGCACTTGCTGATGAATATCAAAGACAACAGTCTTCAGTATGAATTACACCTCAACATAAAGAAAACAAAAATCCTCACAACTGGACCAATAAGCAACATCATGATAACAGGAGAAAAGATTGGTATTTCATTTTATTTGGATCCACAATCAATGCCCATGGAAGCAGCAGTCAAGAAATGAAATGATGTTGTGCACTGGGCAAATCTGCTGCAAAAGGCTGCTTTAAAGGGTTGAAAAGCAAAGACGTCACTTTGAAGACTAAGGTGTACCCTGACCCAAGCCATGGTATTTTCAATCACCTCATATGCATGCAAAAGCTGGATAATGAATAAGAAGGACAAAGAAGAACGGAAGCCTTTGAATTATGGTGTTGAGGAAGAATACTGAATATACCTTGGACTGCCAGAAGAAGGAACAGATCTGTCTTGGAAGAAGTACAGCCAGAGCGCTCCTCAGAAGCAAGGATGGCGAGACTTTGTCTCACATATTTTGGTTGTGTTATCAGGAGGGACAGTCCCTGGAGAAGGACATTATGCTTGAAAAAGAGGAAGCCCCTCAATGAGATGGACTGACAGAGTGGCTGCAGCAATGAGCTCAAGCATAACAACGATTGCGAGGATGGTGCAGGACCGGGCAGTGTTTCATTTTGTTGTACACAGGGTCACTTTATGAGTTGAAACTGACTTGATGGCACCTAACAACAACTTACAAACCAAAAGAGGCCTTGTCTGAGTTAGGTGAGACTATACAAAGGAAAATGAATAATCTTTCTTTGCCTCCATTACCTCCTCCTTGCCTCATTGCAGCCCTCTCTAGGAGTACACAAGAGCTAAAATATTGGAAAAAGTAACCCCAAAAGGGCGATCACAGACTCTGAGATTTCTTTTTCGTGTCACTCTCATTCATTTACTTAGTCACTCATTCACTCTTCAAATAGACTGACTACTCATTGTGCGCTTAGTGCTATTGACTAAGGACAAGAAAAAGCCCAAGACCTGTATTGCAGGGACTCTTAAGCAAGAATCCGTGGACCCTAACGGTGTTCTGAGTGGGCTTTAGAGGATTAGTAAAGCTTAAAATGATGTGAAAGTTGTGTGTGCATTTTCCCAAGAGAGGATTCATAACTTTCATTAGATTCTCAAAGGATCTGATGAAAAAAAACTCAAACATCACTTTCCCATGCTGATCATTTAGCAATTATGTGTGTATGGGCACGCATACACAAGTGTAGATGAGTGAGGTAGAGAGAGCAGAATCTAACTAGACACTAGCGATAAGCCTAAAAGACCCAATCTCTAGAAAGTTAAACCCATTTCTGTTTCCCTAAGTTACTGTATCAAACTGAATCTATTGTTTAAGATGATGCAGTAGCTACTTGCAGGGCTCTGTAGCTATTCTCTGACATATAAAAACTATCCAAATTAAAATCCAACCTTCCTACAATGGTCAGATTAATCTTTCAAAATGCCATTTTCATCATGGCATTCCTTTCTTCTATTCATTCAAGTCTTAATATCAAAAGGTTCATCTTAAGTTTCACCTTCTCCATATCTAAAGTGTCTTTGAGCTTTTAAGTCTACAATTTGGCTGCCAGCATTTACCTGAAAATCTTAAAAAAAAAAATATACCGATACCTCGGCCCCAGCGATTACAATTTAGTAGATCTGTGGTGGGACTCATGAAGCTGTGTTTTTAAGCTCCTCTGGTGATTCTAATATACTTGTAGGTTTGCCTGTCCTGCTCTTTTCTATGCACACAAGAGACTGTCCTGTAGTAATGTTTAACCATACAGGCAGGCCTCTCACAGCACCTTTATCACATTTAGCATATTACTAAAATCATTTAAACTCCTTGAGGGTAGAGACCCCTAGAAGCTAGTGGAATTTAGGCATATTGGTTGTGTATGATAAATGTTTACTTAATTAATGAATATGGGCTGTGGAGCTGGACAGATTTGGCTCTAAACTCCTTGTACCTTGACCTCAGGCAAGAGTTAATTAACTCTAAGCCTCAGTTTCCTCTTCTATAAAGCAGGTATACCAAGCCCTATCTGACAAGATGTTTAAGGATTAAATTAATATATAGGTGGCGCAGTGGCTAAAGAGCTCGGCTGCTGACCAAAAGGTCAGCAGTTCAAGTTTACCAGCTGCTCCTTGGAAACCCTATGGGGCAGTTCTACTCTGTCCTGCAGGGTTGCTATGAGTTGGAATCAACTCGATGGCAATGGGTTTTTTATAAAGCATCTAGCATACTTCGTGTCCACCTCCCTCAAAAAGGATCACGTTTTGAACTTTTTTCTATGCTTCACACAACCTTCACTGTGCTCTGTACACAGGAAACAAATAACATCTGTTGCCTTAACTGCATTGAATACCAGTTCCCTCATAGACTGGCATTCCATACATACCAGGTATGCTGGCTCTGAGATGCTCTTGGAGACAGATCTCAAAACATTTTGTATACGATAATGGTGACATGTCACCTCAGCTCCAACTAGCTGCTTTACTTTTGAACATTTGAATACTCCCATAGAAGTCACAGGCACTCTCTTATGATAGAGCTCAGGTGCTCCAAACAGTGGTTGCTGTGTTTTAATAGGTGTAATTTTCAAGAATTCAGTTTGTTTCTTTTCTTATACTACTCACTTTGACACTGTCTTTGTAACTTAATTAGTTACTCCATAGGAATGAGTCGTGAACAAAGATACCAACAGAGATGAATAGGGGCCTATTATATCACCCCTCCTTTATATAAGAAGCCAAGACTGGTCTGAATATAATAAACCATTGAAACTCTTGGTAAGTGCATTCCTGATGCCACCTTTGAAATATTTCTTCACCATGGATACCTTTTCTTGAGTTTCTGACCATGTATATAAGATTTGTACTCTTTAGTATTAGGGTGGTACTCAGGCAAACTTGAGAAATAAATAAGCAAGCATTAGACATCATTCTAAACCACGTCCAAAATCTGAAGAATCAGTCATAAAACAGCAACTTGAGTGGTATTTTGAAAGCTATGAAAACACATACACACACACACACACACACACAGACAGACACACAGACACTTACATTGCTAGGTAGCTCCAATTGACTAAAGGACAGCAATACCTTTTTTAAAAGTTTAGGAAAAAGAGATTTCAAGAGGGGTAACAACAACAACAAATCAGTAAAATGATACATGTCAAGCCAAAAAGCTTCAAGTGAACCACACCAGAAGTTTAATGTTCTGAGTTTGACTGAATACTTCAAATTTTTACAAGTTCTCTCTTAAAGCAAGACACAAATTTTGGCAAATAAGCAGTCAGACTCACAGGAAATAGTTATTATTCTGATAAAGTTTTTATTTCAGCAATTAAGATGGCATTAGTTGAGCACTATATGCAGAATTTGAGATGGTTTTACTTTTTACATGAATTTGAAAACTAAGTAAAAACAACCCACAGGAAAATAACATGTATCAAACTTTTAATTCTGGATTAGCTGTAGAGAAGCTAGACTCAAACATAATGAGTCTACTCACCGATGAGTCCCAACATCTCTAAACACAGACCAAATTAAGAGAATCTAATCTTAAGGGTTGTAATTTTTTTGGGGGGGAGGAGGGGAAGAAAAAGTGTTTTCCCACATCTCTAACTTAACCTCTGATTAAAAATATTCAAGGATAAAAATAAGGCTAAATCGGGGCTAATTATTTCCACTTAAACCACTCAGACTATATATTATATTCCATTTTATACTGCAAATTAATGTTTCTCAGCTAAATATTAACATTTGCTTTGCATCAACCAATACTTACCTGTCAATCAATAAATCTTAGAATTCACTTAAACTTGCTCATTATTCAATCACAAAAAGGATCTAATTTGCCCCAGGTTTCCAAAAACCTTAATAAAAACCTTGGTTGTGGTTTCTTTCTTTTTCCTACAAATGTATGCTCCCTTTTTATGGGCTTTAAAAAATATTTAATAGCTTATAGCCTTAGAATTAAAAAGACATTAAGACTGACAAATGGAGAGTACACACTACAATTCAGAAGCCAATCTGAACCTTAAACAGGTTCAGTGTTTCCTAATTTGTAGGTTAGGCCTTGAACAATTCATAGCTTAATTTTCAAACTTCCAAAAAAGAAATTTTTGATACAATGGGCTCCCCAGTGATTCTAATATGCTGCTAGGGTTGAAAACCACTGATCTTAACAGTGAAAATTTACGACAGTCATAAAGACATAGAGTGTATATCAAAGGAAGGCAAAGTACTGAAAGAAAACATACGTGTGTGTGTTCCTTTCGATCATGATGTTATGAAATGAAAGCCTAGGTATTCTCCTATAACCTCATTGGAGTGTTTACTGCTTTTTATAGAGTCTGGCAAAAAACTGTAGCTGATTTCCAAATTTTACTTGCATGTACTCTTTTTAACCCTTTCTTGCTCGTTACTAATTAAGTAGGTTTAGGAAGCAGTTTTCCCCAAACACCAATTTCACTTACATTATCATGTTTAAAAAAACACAACATCTTCAATTCCCGGAAGACCCTTTTGCAAGAGACCAGATTCTGGAAGACGTTGGGCATCTTTTTGAGTGCTACTCTCTTTCCATCTCTTGGATCTGTTACTGACCTAAAGGAGCAATATTTGGGGGGAGAAGAGAAAAAAAAAAAAGACAGAGAAATCAATTCCTGACCTTGTTCTTCAAAGTTTCAGATCATGACAAATACCTTTATCTTAAAACATTCTATATTAAAAATCCATTTACTAATGCTTATGGTGTAAGAAAGACAAGAAAAAAAAGTACACACCTATAATCAAAGAGAACTTTAGCTGAATTCATCTGCCACGTTTTCCCCCACCCCAAATCCCTGTCTAAATTTCTATAAACATTTACCCTTTCTGAGAAATCACTTAGCACTACACCTAAGGTAGGAAGAATACTGGCAGTAAAGCCATTTTTAAAGATAGGGGGGAAAAAGAAACAGAATATTAAGTAATATGATCAAGGTCAAATTAGTTTTATTCTTTATTTTTCAGAACCATATTCAAGATGAAAGAGATGTTCATTCTAAGGATATCACATTTAGTTAAAAAAGAGAACCCAATTTAAATATTCTGGTCTCTGTAAATGAACATCTATTAGTAATATGCACTTCAGTACCACTAGTAGCTGAAAGATGTCTCTTCCTCAGATGTCTAAGTACCAGCTCCACAGGGATCTCTCTAGCTCCTAAGTTGTGAGAGCCTCTTCGCTTTTGTTTTCCAGCTCTTGGTGTGACATCTGCTTCCTGTAGTAGTATCTGTTTAACAGCTCAGTGTCCCCTTTTTCTTTTTCAGTTTTCTAACACATACACAACCAATTCCCTGTATTAAATTTCCCTATGTTTGGAATACTAGTGTGGTTTTCATTCTCCTTACTGACAGATTAAATCAAAATTAAATGAAACAAAATCAGTACATTTGGTAAATATGGCCGGTTGGCCATTTGGCAAATATATTTTCCATGAATTAACCTACAGCTTTTTTTTTCCCCCTTTCACTCATCATACTAAGACTGGCTGTCCTTGTAGAATTTATTCCTGACAGATTCGTTTTGATAGATTCCTGCCTACCATTATCTTTCAGTTCCTGTTTCAGTCATCCAGTGCTTTGGCTATCCCTACCAGATTCGTGTCATTTATAAAGTTGATCTATATGTTATCAATGCTTTCATACAGGTTACTAATTAAAGTTGAAAAGAAAACCGAGAATAGATTCTCCATCAGATACAGCACCAGAAACCATCTACGAAACTGGAATCCAATCATTTATCTTGGGTATGGTTATTCAATTAATCATTCATTCAATTAACCACAATAACAGTTTATTTCTTCATCTTGTCCACAAGAAAATCAGATACCCATCAAATTGCTTTCATGAAAATAAAGAACCTCCATTAAGTATCTATCTAAAAACCACACCAAACTTCTTAATACCATGACTTCTTTATGAATTCATCTTAGTGATCACTACTTCATTTTCTAAGTGCTCAAGAAACGTTATTTATTTTTCACGAAACTTTTAAATGATGCATTCTAGTAATTTTTAAACAGCAGGAAGACTGTACTTTCTTCCATTTACTGAAAAACTGGTGAAACAATTAAGCATTACTTTTAAGTTTGCAATAGCTTGAAATGTAATTCAACTAGGCCAGGAGACCTAACATTCTTGACTTGCTTAAAAAACATCAACCAAAACCTACCACACTGCTTGAAATCCATATACACTAAGAAAGCAAAATAGGAGAGAAACTGAGTATATTATATTCAGACTATCAAAAAGATTCCCTCCCTCTATTTAAATATGCCACTTCTATATTCAGATACTAGAAGAGAAAAATGTCAATGAAATGACAAGGAAGGAAAATTCTGGATCACACAATGCATTCAGTTGTTGTGTCTCTACAGTCTTCTTTATTCTGGAATAGTTACTTAGCATTTCTTTGACATTTATGACACTGCCATTTTTAAATAGTATAGGCCAATTATTTTGTAGCATGCCCCTCAATTTGGGTTTGTCTAGTGTTTTCTCATACCACAGAAGTGATGTTGTCTTATCAGCACAATTATATTAGGAGGCATATAGTGTCATTACTGGGGCGTGCCGGGAGACAGCTGGGAGTAGGGAGGGGAGGCGTGAGCTGGCAGGAGCCTGGGCGTTGGGCACCCCATGAGTTCCACACTGGGGTTAAATACCCACTCCGCGCCACCCTAGAGAGCTGTGCACAGCAAAGGTGTGCGGGTATGTGAGGATGTTAACGCGCAAAATAGTTGGTAGATTTCTTACTATTGTCATAAATGTGAAATGTCAGCTAACAAGACAGTCGGTAAGTGAGAAGTAGTAGGTGTGATAAGTATCAAGGTTAGCAGTTCAAATCCACCAGGTGCTCCCTGGAAACACTATGGGGGCAGTTCTACTCTGTCCTATAGGGTTGCTATGAGTTGGAATTAACTCCACGGTAATGGGTTTGTTTTTTTTTTTAGAGAGATATGTTGAAATATCACGACTTTCGATCGATGATTTTTGCCCAAATCAATTATTACTATGATGGTGGTCAAATGGTACTTTAATAATTTTTATATTTCTAACAACTATAAACACAATAAATGTTAGTTTCACAGATGCGTAAATTGATTGAACACAATGCCTTCTCCAAAGATATCACAAAGCAGTACTTCTTCCCTATTTCTGAATTCTTACTGGTCTTGACCCTACAGTGGTGAGGAAAGCTGCTCTAAAATAAACCCACTCCTGGAAATACTTGACAAAGGCTCAAGGTTAGCACTGTGCCTTGTAATGTTTTAAGGTAAAATTCACAAAGCAGTGGTTTATTTTATTATTCATGCAAAAAGCCAGTCATGCCTGTGGCTGGTAACAATATAACTCTAATGAATGTGAATGGCAGTTCAGTAATTTCACGCCATGTTGAGTTTGTTCTCTCTTAACTTGGGGTAGCAGATGCTTTAGTTCAGCACAAACAGTACCACTGAACACAGATAAGTGTGGAAGCATGTTACACAGAAATGCTTTTATTTTCTTCGTTACTGAAAGGCTTACTGTGCTTAGTTTCTCTGCTGCTGCAATACCCTGGTTATTCTAACCACACTTGTTAATGAAGCTACAGCTGTAGAGATAATGAACAACACTGAGGGCAATTTTCCTCATTTCAGAAAAAAGGAACCATCTTTCGACCTATAATTCACTTGCTGGTCAGTTACTTTCTCTGCTAAATACTGGGTTCCTTAAATAAAACAGTGCATCCGTCAGTTCATCTGACTGCCTTCTTAAACACAGAAATCATACTAACAGGTAGTTTACTTCCTAAGTTTTAAATTAATGTTTGATTCTGAAAACACTATGTTAAAGTTTTAAGGGTTGTGAGAAAGTCCTTTCTTGAGTCTGCCTGGAGTGCATCAATCCTTCTCTGCACTCAGAACACAGGTTCAACCGGTTTTTAAAAAGCCAGAAGGATCCACAAGCCTTTCTTCAGAGACGTACAGAGTCGGTCAAGAGTACAATACCAAAACAGGAAGGTTTTTAGATTTGGCGTGGCCATTTTGTAGGACTTTTTTAATCCCAGGAAACTGTGACCATTGCCACAAATCTGTTTAAATCACCTATTGACAACAGGAGAGATGGAATGAAACACGAGTGAAACTTATTACTGAGGATACCTTCCCAGGCGCTAGAATGTCACATTAAAACATCTTTAATTAGTGTAAGTAGTCAGCAAGAATCTCCAAGAAATTATATACTTCTCATTCATTTTCATGTGAAGAATCTTTTCTCCCACAGCATGTTTTAGCAGTTTTTAAAGTTCATTATTTCTGATAAAGGTTTTTAGCTACTCAAAGCAAATATACAATTTATAATGAGAATGCTTTAACTTGGGTTAAGAAAATTAGGTTCTTTTAATTCTATTCACGTAAGGTGTAATCAGCAATCCTCTACTTTTTGCCATACATACTACAATTACTATGTCAACTGTACCAACAAAGTATACATCTCAGTAATAGAATCTCCTAAGCAGACGTTAAATGTTTAGATTGCTTTCACAATCACTTTGAAATGCATTTCCTTAAAAGTTATTTTTATTGTATATAGATAAGTCTCCTTAAGAAAACAGCACACTATGGAGTAAAATTTTTGACAACAAATACGTCCAGGAAACTTATAAAAATATATTAAACTTAGAAAATATATTTTAAAAATTAGTATACAACTCTATTTAGGTGAACAAACCTTCTAAGCCTCCTTGCCCTCTTCCTCCAAAACACATAAATAAAAGGATTTTCATCTTTCTTATTTAAATAATTTGTTCCATCAGTTAAATTTTTTTAATGTTTGTTATTTTATGTTTATCCAAATTTGGTATTTGCTAGAGTTAGTGCTTGAAATATCACGACTTTCGATCGATGATTTTTGCCCAAATCAATTATTACTATGATGGTGGTCAAATGGTACTTTAATAATTTTTATATTTCTAACAACTATAAACACAATAAATGTTAGTTTCACAGATGCGTAAATTGATTGAACACAATGCCTTCTCCAAAGATATCACAAAGCAGTACTTCTTCCCTATTTCTGAATTCTTACTGGTCTTGACCCTACAGTGGTGAGGAAAGCTGCTCTAAAATAAACCCACTCCTGGAAATACTTGCATAGGAAAGATATCCTTTTCCGACTTTTTTCAAGATACTTATAAAATGGTCCTCAAATTTGTTAATCTGATACAAGAAAAAAAGGCTTTATATAACAGCTAAACCAAAGCAGTGAAATAGTTAATTTCTTTTCTCATATACTCCCAATATAACACTATTGATCAGAAGAAGCAAAATGCCTATATTTAAATACGAACTTATCGTCTAACTGTATTTAAATAAACAATTTTTTTTTAAAACTGAGACTATACACTCTGGTCTGTGCACAAAGATAACAGTAGATGTGACAGCACTGGGTCATTCTAATCTGTAGTGAGATACCCAGGGGTGTTAATAAGGGAGGAGGGAAAACCAGGTAATATCAGGCTGTCATATTTATTTACTTGTGAGACCTAACTTCTAAGACCCCTTACCCTCCACCAAAGT